ATAATTGATAAACTTTGAGTCTTTATTGGGATGCAATAAATTTCGATAAAACCGGCAATTATTCTTTTTTTTTTTTCTAATCTAGAAAAAAAATTTAAACATAGAGTTCTCCAAAAAACAATCATCATCATCACGATTTGAATACTGTAGGAGAGGACGATTCAGAAGATGACATAGGTGGATAGTGTCCTTCAGGCTTCTTTTTCTCTGAATTATTATAATTCAAAATAAGTGGGCGAGGGGGCGGGTCAATTTAAAGGATAAAAAACGTAATGCAATCAATCGAGAAAATGCTTTTAAAAATGAGAAAACAGGGAAGAGAAAAATGTGGGCGGGACTTAGAAATCGATAAAAACAAGGAAAAAATTAGATACCACCACAAGCACGATTGACACTTGGTGTTCCGTGAATTTCGTCCAGATATCCGACGAGTCGATTGCTGGTCAATTGACCTCCTTTCAATCCGGAATAAAGCTGAAAATATCGACTTTTTGAAGAATGTCTGTGTGTCCGGATGTCCTCACCTGGAAGAATTCGGCGATTTCGATTTCTCCATTCTTATTCAAATCGACTTCGTTGAGCAACTCGTGGAGCACACGTTCGTCAATCTTTTGATTGTGTTCCTGGAAAAAACAATTTTTAGGATTCAAAAACTACAGTAACCCTCAAAATTCCAACTTTCAAAAAATCTAATTGGTAAAAAACTGAAAAAAAACAAAATCCAAATGTTCCTATCTACAGTAATCCTGGAAACCTGAAACGTTCTCAAAACTCACTCTAAAATGTTTGCGAAGATCGTTAACCGTAATATGTCCCTTGCGATCCTTATCCAACTGATTGAATCTCTCCTTCGCCTTCTGCATCTCCTCCTTTGTCAGATTCAACGGAGCATTCGATACGGCCGTTTGTTTCGCATTCTGTCCCATTTCCAAGTCGATAAAAGCCCTGGCCTTATCCAATTGTTGTCGTTGCTCTGCATAACTCCATCCCAGCTCTTCTCCCATCACACGGACGACATCAGGAAGTACTTCATGAGCAGCGTAGGTATTCAAGAAAGCCAGACGCATTCTTCTAGCAATGACGTCGACTGCAGTACAAGCGTATTCCCTGACAGCATATCTCACTTCAGCGTCCAAATACGGGAATTCAGGATGAAGACGTTGTCCAACAATTGGCCATCTCTTGCCTGTCATCTTGCACATTCTAGCCACAACGAATGCTCTGTCTCCATAAGTGTTGCTCAGATGTTGTGCCACGTCGACCTCCATACCGTAATCCTGTACCAAATGAATGTATTGGAGCGAGTTCCAATCATGAGCTCCTTCGAGCAACAATCCAGGTGTCACACATCCAGATTCTGTTTTTAGGTCATGAACCTTCACTACCGTATCCACAGTCTCTTCAGCCATATGCCGATAGGTTGTCCATTTTCCACCGGCAATCGTCACAAGACCCGATTTTCCAACTTCGATAATGTGATTTCTGGCCAAACTCTTTGTATCCTTCTTATTCGGGTCACGAACAAGGGGGCGGAGTCCCGACCAAGCACTCATCACATCTCCACGTCGAACTGAGACATCTTTCGAGAGATATCCACGAATTTCTTGAAGAATGAATTCGATGTCGTGGTCTGTTGGTTGAGGAGACAGTGTGACGTCAGATGGAGCATCCGTCGTACCAGCAATAGTCATTCGTTCCCATGGAAGGAAGAAAATGACACGACCGTCAGAGGTGTCTGGATCGAGGAGACCTGTATTAGAAGGGCTGTAGTAGCCGGGAAGGGTGATATGGACACCGGAAGATGGAGCACAAATCGGACGAGCCGTCTCTGGATCACCCATCAAACGAATCGAATCGGTGAATGGACCGGTTGCATTGATGACTGCCTTAGCTTTGATATCCCATTCTCCGCCGGTTACCATATCCTTTACATGGGCTCCAATCACTTTTCCATTCTCGTCTTTGTTCAATTTCTCGACACGAACGTGATTGGCGCACTGCAAAATATTTCAGGGTGATCTTCTCTCGCAAATGCAATTTTTGGAATAACTCAAATTTCCAGATTTCAAAAATTGGTTTTCATACAAATTGAAAATTGTGAAACTTCAATTTTTAATTCTAGAAAACATATTATAAATTTGGAATCCTTCGTCCCAGAGCCCAAAAAAAAGCCATACCTTAGCTCCATGCCGAATCGCTGTCAGAATAATAGCCAAATTCATTCTAGCATCATTGTGTTGTCCATCATAATAGATCAATGCCCCTTTCAAACTCTCATTTTTCAACATTGGAAATCTCTCCAACGCCTGTGATTTACTGATAAAAAACGAATTCTTCAACACTCGCTTCCCAGATACAAAATCGTACGCTTTAATTCCACTCCAATAGTACGGTACTTGCCACAGCTTATAAATCGGGAGCATAATCGGAAGAGGACTACTCAAATGTGGCGCAATTTCCAGAAGATTGTGTCTCTCGAAAAGTGCTTCTTTGACCATTCGATATTGTTCCAAATCTAGCTTCATAATTGCCGCTTGAAGATATCGAACACCTCCGTGAATCAGCTTAGTCGATCTTGATGACGTTCCAGATGAGAAGTCGTCCAGTTCGACGAGTGCCGTTTTCAATCCACGTGTCTGTGCATCGAGAGCAACGCCGGCGCCTGTGGCTCCGCCTCCAATGATCAGCACATCGAATTCTTCGCCTTTCTGAAATGAATTATTGTAAGAATGTTTTAAAAGCTAAATGTCAGATGGCCTAGCTTTTCCTAGAGCCTTCAAGAACCAAAAATAGCTAGTTTTGGTCGATTTTCAGCTCTAAAATTGACTTTCATGAATTCCAAAGCTTCTTATCGTTTCGAGATCATTCCAGACCAAACATGACTCTTTCTAATCAATTTTTGAGCTCGAAAAACCGAAAAATTTCGAATTTTTTACTAGAAAAGGCGAATTCTATGACTTCGACTCAAAAACACCCATTTTATGATCTGAAATACCATTTTCAGATTAAAAAATAGAAAACGTTTGATGGCCTAACTTCTCAAAATTTCTAGGCCAACTCACACTCAAACTGGTCAAAATGTCTTTTCTCGTCGGAAGAGCACTCGGCGCTCTTTTGTTGAGTTCGGCGAGTCGATCGGCGTGAGCAATTCGGAAGTGATCTTTCTGGAAAAATCGAATTTTTAATCTGAAATTTTGGTGGCTTTGCTTTTTCTAGGCCATCATCAAAAATCGGTGCTCTTTTAGCATCTGAATGCAACAAAACTAGCAACAAATCTGAAAAAATCCAGATGGCCTAGATTTTTCTAGGCCATGATCCAAAACCGGCGCTTACCATTTGTCGCTGAAATCGTCGCTCGTTCGTCATGTCGAGTGCGAAAATCGCGGCTGCTGACGTGGCGACGACGGCGACACCCGTCTTCGTGAACCGCACCCACGACATCTTCTGGTCTGGAATAACCGGAAAATTTAAATTTTCGAAAACTTTCAGTCAAGAAGTGTCAGATGGAAAAGAGGTGACAGAAAAAAAATCAGCGTGGTGGTCTAGAAAATGGTTCTTCAAATTTGGCGCCGGCTTCGAGTGCGCTCCACTGGCATCCTTGAAAATTCGGAAAAAATATCTGTCAGAAAAAATGGGAGAGAAAAAGTGAGCAAATAGGTGTAAGGTACACTCTCCGAGTACATATAAATATTGAGAAATGTGTGATTTGATGACATTTTGGTGCTCAATTCGCACTATATAAATATACAAAACATTGTTCGACGACCTAGCTATCTAGCTGGGTGGCCTAGAAACCCAAATTTTCCCTTTCTGGTCCGGAAACCCAAATTCTCGATTCGCTTAAAAACACAAAATGACCTGGAAACCCAAAATCCCATCTGCTGGCCTAGAAACCCAAGTTTTCATCTGATGGTCTAGAAATCCAAAAACCAGCAAAATGGCTTAGAATCCCAAAAAGTAGAATAATGGCCTAGAAACCCCAAAAGTATGAAAACGGCCTGGAAACACGAAAAACAACCTAGAAACCCAAATTCTTCTTGAAAATTGACCATAAACATGCACTAGGAAGTGCAAACAGTTTAAATGTGTTAATTTGATAAAATTATCAGCAAAATTTCTATAATTCAGACTGGTTATCACAAGAATTAGGAGTATTAAGATGGGTGTGTGGTTTAAGAGAGGAATTGCGCTGAAATCGGAATCTCTTTTTAAAAAATGGGAAAAAAATTGAATTATTCTTGTCGAAAAGCACTAAAAATCGAGATTTTCAATGAAAGAAATAATATGAAAATAGCATTTTTCAATTTTTTTTTTCTGAAAAACAAAGAAAAGAAGCTTTAAAAATACAAAATTTCGAATTTTCCAACAGAAACCATTGAATTTACTTCTCTCTGCGTCTCTCACTCTCTCGCTTTCACTGTTCAAATTGCCAATTAACAGGCGGTGGTAAACAAGAAAATCGGGCGGCGAGAAAATGGACAAACATCGCAAAATTAAGACATGATGATGTACACAACAAGACAACGTCTTCTTCCTCTTCAACGCCTTCTGGAGAAATTGACGGGCGGTCTCATCGTGTTTTGATTGGATTCCCTGAGCCAGTGGGATATATTATTAAACTCAACTCAGACTCTCTCTCCTCTTCTTCCGTCTATCGGTGACACGAAAAAAAACCAAAACCTTCGTTTTTATTTTCTCTTCTTTTCCCGAAACAAGAAAACATGGGGTTAGAGAGCATGCTGAAAGAGGAGGTGCCAGAGAAAAGGCATCGATCGAGGGAAGAAGAAGACATGTGAAATAAGCGTGGATGTGTGGAAGTGTGTAGCAAAATGGGAGAAATGCGCAAAAGTGCCAAATTGGATACTAGTCGTTCTTTGATGTGTTTGAAATGTTCACACAGACACGGCGAGTGTCCGTTTTAACGATTTTGAACGAGTTGGACTGTTTGAAAATAGTGTGGAGTGATGAGAGATTGTGAAGATAATTGAAGAAATTGAATTTTCCTAAAAAACGAAAAAAATTCAGAGAAAAGAGCGGAAAACAATGAAAAAAAGGTAAAAATTTCAAACAAGGCAGATATTTTGATGTTGTTGCGAGACACAAAGCAAAGATTATGACTATGCACCTTCAAAAATTACGGTAAAAAAAAAGAAAAAGGAATTTTAAAAAAAAAGGAATTTTGCGATGTTTTCAGCTTCTAAAAGTCAATTTTCATGCAAAAAATATATTTTGAATCTTTTTAAAAATTAAATTAAAGGCTTAAAAAGAAACTTTCCATAAAAAATGAGACTTATGGAAACATTTCGTGTTGAAACCCAATAGAACTTTTCAAAGCATGCGCCTTTAAAGATTACTGTAGTTTTTTTTTTTGCACAAATTTTCGATTTCAGACCAGTTTTAGCTCAATTTCGCGAGTTTTAGGCTCAAAACCGGTTCGTTTGCACTTGATAAGCGCGTAAAAGGTGTGAAGTTTTGAAAAGGGTCTGATAAGCAGCGAGAATTGAGTCAATAAAAGGAATCAAAGTATTGTTGAACTTTATAGAAAACGACAGAAAATAAGCGGTATTTTCGAATAACAACAGGGTAACAAATAATAGTAGTAGGAACAAAAAACAAAGGAATCAAGGGGGAAAAAAAAGATGATTACTCCTGCATTGGCTCTTCATCAGCACTCTCTGCTGCCTCTTTCATCTCCTCGTCGTCGAATTTCAAGTCTTCAAGCATTTCAGCCAGTGATGGGGGCTTCTGGATGATCATCGTCGTCGTCTCCATCAAAATTGGTGCCTTTTCAGCGTCCTGAAAAACAGAAAAATTAGAAAATCTCTAGATTTTTCTAAATTTTGATGTTTGACACTTTTCTGAAAATTAATTTCAGAATGTTTGACATTCTTAAATTCCGGGTTGTATTTCTAGAATACAACTTTTTTCGAATTTCTGAAAATTTCGAATTTTGAGAACCTCAGAATTTTCCGATATCAAAATTTTCAGAGCTTTCGGAAATTCCGATTTTTAAGAATTTGGAGTATCGGAATTTCGGAATTTTTGTAAATTAAAAAATTTTAGAGTAGAAATTTCCTTTCTAAATCATAAAACCGCCGTCGACAACCAATATCTTCAGCTTCCATTGACTTTTCGCAGTACGACGAGTACGATCAAACACCTTTCTGCCGATGATGGCATCAGGATAAATTTCAGAATTTCTTTAAAAATGCTTCTTCCCGAATTCAATATAGAACTAGAGGCACGAAATGAGTGAATACCGGGAAACGGTTTATTATGGGAATATGCCTCTTAACAAACTGGGACAATGTGTCATTGAAACAGAGTGGGGATTTACAAGAGATTATGCATTAAAAGGGAGATATATAATTTGTATTATGCACTTATGTACAAGGAAATTATATTTTAGATTTCGGCATCAATTTGTTGGGCTCCGAGTCCGGCGTCTCCGAGGTGGTCAATCTTCGAGAGGACAGTCTCTTCATCGACAATCTTGGAGCATGCTTTGGAATCCGGAGAGCCAACAGCAGATCCTGAAGACTCGGTGACGGCAGAAGAATCAGCTGCATCGCCAGTTTCCTTCTCGGCTTTTGACTTGCGGTTTCTGTTCTTGCGTTGCTTTCTTGGCTTCTTCTTTCTGTCCTTCTCAGTCGACACCTTTGCTTCCTCAGGTTTGGCTTCCGCGTTGTTCGATTCCTCTCCGTCGACGGATGTTCTTGGCTTGCGGTTTCTACGGAAACGAGATAGCAGCTTGTGGCGGTATCTAAAAATTGTTTATTAGGGAGAAGATCCATATCAACGAACTAACCTTGATCCTGCAACGTTTCCTCCGTCTGGGCCGGTGACGTTGGCAGCTTCTGGGCCATTCTTTCCTTCAACGAGATCGAAAACGATGTCTTCCTCGTCGGCGAGCGTGCGGAGGTAGAACTTCTCGGTGTTTGACTTGGCAATGGCGGTCTGGTGAACAAAGACGTCCTTCTCTCCGTCGTTGCGAGAAATGAAGCCGTAGCGACGAAGCACCGAGTACCATTTGACTTTTCCTTGAAGTCCAGTGGAGAGCACTCGCTTCGCTTTCTGTTCCTCCTCCCAGAGACGGATGCGCTCGGCAGTTGGAATGCGCTGAAAGTAAATTGTGAGATGATCGAAAGATGTCATACGAGGCTTACCGGCTTGCGTGGCGACTTCTCTTCCTGGTTGCTCGGAGAGCTCTTCTCACCAATTGAGAGAGCTTCAAGAGCCTCTTTGGCGACTTCGACGTTGGCTGCGTCCGACATGATTTTGCGCGGAATGAACTGAAATTTAAAGCAGACTGTAACGAATGGCAACACAGATGAGATTTTGAACACGAGAGGGTATGAAGAAAACATACTTGCAAAATCAGGGCCCGGCCCAGAAATTTGAAATTTCCGTAATTTTTTGTGAAAAAAGGGCCTTGAAAATTCTGAAAAAAAAGCCCGGCCAGGCCCGTTGCAAGTATGTAAAAAAATATAGGAAAAAATGCCTGAAAATACGAGAGAAAACGAACAGAGAATATCGCGCAAAAGCAAGGAAAAACATACTTGTAACGGGCCGGGCCGGGCTTTTTCCGGAATTTCGGAGGCACGGCCCGGCGGGCCCGTCATTTCACTAGTTTCGAAATTTTCAAAGAAAACACATAAGGGGGGACCCTTATGTGATTTTTTTCGAGTTTTTCGATCTTTTTTGGTCAGACAGACAAACAATCCGAAATACGAAAAAAAATGGAAAAAATTAAATTGAGAGCTCAAAATTTGGCTCAAAAATACAGAATTTTTGACACCGGGCCTTGAAAATTTCCTCAGGCCCGGGCTTTGGCGGGCCGGCCCGGAATTTTACAAGTATGAGGAAAAAGAATTCGAAAAGGGAAAAATCGCAAACGAAAGGAACTCCCGCCCTACGATCTACAGTACACTTCACATGCATATCTAACTAAACGCGCGGCAATTCAAATTCGAATTTATAGAAGATTCGAATAAATTGCATAGCAGACTGCCAGAAAACAAACATATCGAGGAAACCTTTCTATTTTAGAGCTAAAAAGCACTTCTGTTCGGTCGAACCTGTCAGTTATCTGAAATCGAATGCGGTTATGGGGCTATATTTCTTTTTTACAAATCGGGACAATGTGTCATTGAAACAGAGTGGGGATTTACAAGAGAATATGCATTAAAAGGGAGATATATAATTTGTATTATGCACTTATGTACAAGGAAATTATATTTTAGATTTCGGCATCAATTTGTTGGGCTCCGAGTCCGGCGTCTCCGAGGTGGTCAATCTTCGAGAGGACAGTCTCTTCATCGACAATCTTGGAGCATGCTTTGGAATCCGGAGAGCCAACAGCAGATTCTGAAGACTCGGTGACGGCAGAAGAATCAATAAAGCAAGCAATAATTTCTACAAAACATTTACATGACTATTTAAACGATTACAGAAGAGAATTCATTATGACAAGAATATCGAAAGTAGTTTGATGGTCTAACTCATTGATATTATCCGGAATCAGTGATTGGACGTCTTCGATAGTTTCGATTTGCGCATGCACTTCTCCTTTAGTTTCTCAAGGCGATGTCGACATGCCAAGCGTATTTTCTCCTTCAAAGTCTTCAGGGACTTTTCGAGAAGAAATTTTTCGCATCTTCTGATGGCCGTTGGAGCATCGTACATGTCGCCAAGACTAGCCACTCCTTCAACTGTCGTATCTGGAAGAAAAACTTGTTTAAAAATCAAAAATTCGATAATTGTTACCATTGATAGCCAATTCTCCATGTAGCACCTCCAAGAATATTTGAAATTCTTCTGGATCCACTTCTTTCAGCTCCACTTCGGATTTTCCGGCTTCTGCGAAATTTCCAAGAAGAAGAGCCTTGAAATAGGAAGATTGCGATGCAAGGAACTGTAAAAATATCTATTTATATATTGATTTTCGGAGAATCCAAACCTTTTTCAATACATAGAATTTGGTGTCTTTGACCACCAATATGACATCCGAGAAGTCCTTCTGTGAATCATCGAATGGTCTGATTTCCTCATTTCCGAATCCAGTGACCTTCAGAATTACAACTTCCACCTCTACAACCAGATTATCATCGACTAGAAACTTCTCGACGTCATCCCATTGGATATATTCCGATTCAGAGCCGACTTGGTCATTGAAGCAGTGTTCTGTAGTGGAAGTTAAAGTTTTGTAATTGCTTCCGATCACTTTGAAGTCCAATTTCGCTCCGATTGACCATTTATCGGCGACAGGAATGATGGGGCTGCAGCAAAGCTTCAGTCTCAAATAGCTGTCACAGCGTTTTATACGAATGCGCCTTAAAAAAACAATTTGAGGTTGGAATTCGTTAGAATGAAAATTACCAATTCGCATTGAAGTGCTCGCGTCTTTCGCTCTTCATGGATTCTCCTTCTTTGAAAAAAACATCTCTTCGAATGAATGCTTCAAAACGAATCGTCTCTCTGACTTCAATTCCTTCACGTCATCATCAGATTTCGGAATTTTCGATATCGATTCTCGATTGATGTGAGCTTTTCCGTGATTTTTTTGAATTTCCTCTTTTTTTTGTTCTTTTCCGCATCGTTGTCACCCATTTTTGCAGATTCTGGTGACAATTCTGAAAAAAAACTACTGATCGATAACGAATGCTGCTGAATTTTTCAGAAGGTGCTTGAAATTATGTCGAAATCTCGAAAAAATAGCAAAAAATCGAAGGAAGTTGGGAGGTGCGGAAAAACGGCGAAAAAAGACCAAAAATGGCTGAATATTGACTAAGAATGAGCCAAAAAATTCTGAAATGAACGTAAAACAGCTGAAAATTGGCAAACAAACGCTGAAAAACTGCGAAAAATGAGCTCAAATGGCTAAAAATCGGCTAAAAATGACCCACAAACAGAAAAAAAATCACCAAAAAAATACAGTAGTTTTTGAAATCGTTGCGAAACCCAATGTCAAACAACTCGATGCGCCTTAATATATTTTTTATTTTTAGCTGTTTCTAAAGAATGTAAGCACCGAAAAACGTTTGAAATTCTTGGAGATCTCTTAATTATTCAATTTTCAGTAAACAAGGAATCTAAAAATGTAGTGCTGGCATTCTTCCCGGGATCAACTCGAGAGATAAACAAGCAGGCCCAAATGTACTACTTCTACATCCTACGTTTTGCGTTGAAATTCGGTTTAAACGCATTACGATATGCATTCAAATTTGATCGCAGAAGTTGTCAATTTTCCTATGATGGAGAGCTTGAAAATGAGGGAGTTCCTGATCAACAGGCTGATCTCCCAGAGGAAATGATGGAAGAAGCTGAAACATCCAGATATGATTCGAAGGCCGGCATCATCTCAATGGATCACACTCCAGATGTTCCATTCGGTGAGCCATCATGTCATCCGGAGCCGTTCGACGAGGAAAACGGAGTGAAGCCACAAATGCCTATTCTTGTTCCATTCGCAGCACCTCACTATGAGCCGCAAAGTCTGCCAGAAGAAGTCGACCGACAAGTGGTAAGTGGTTTACAAAAAAATATAATTTATTGATTTCATTTCAGCCACCACCAAATGATTGGATTAATGCACTCCAGATAGTTGTTGAGTACAATAAAGGTCGTTTCAGGAAGCTGGAGGCGGAAGTTCGAGAATTGAAGGAAGAAATTCGCAGAAGAAAGACTCAAGTGTAAAGTTGTTTTTTTAAAATTAATTTTGTTGGTTGTATTAAATTCAAAGTGAAAATAAAGTGTTGTTTTACTAAATCAACCGGATTACCAGAGAAGCGAATATATCAAATGAGGTGTTTTACAGCGAATTTTTAGCAAATTGCTTTTACAATAAATGCTCTTTTTGAATTATCGTTTTGTCAATTCATAGTTTTTTACCGGGAATTTTTCGATGTATTCAGCTGTTGAAAGCCAATTTTCATGCTAAAAAAAATCTGTTTTTAATCAGTCTTTTTCTTAAATTTCAGGCAAAAATGAAATTTCGCGTTGAAACCCAATAGAGCTTTCAAAGCATGCGCCTTTATGCCGCGTTCAAAGTTGATTTCCAGGAGTAAGTTCCTGGAAAAACGCTGTCCTCATCTGAAAGAGTTCACGAAAATCATCCATGGAATCGTCTTCTGCCTCATGATTCCCTCCAGCTACGTCTTCGTAACCCTCTATTCTCTGATCAACTTGAACGTCATCACCTGGGGAACACGTGAAGCTGTCGCCAAGGCAACTGGACAGAAGACGAAGAAGGCGCCTATGGAACAGGCAATCGACGCTGTCGTTGCCCTTCTGAAGAAGGGATTTAGATTGATTANTTGTCGGGAGAAGAAGGAGCATGAGGAGAAGAGGGTGAAGAAGATGCAGAAGATGGAATTCGCTTTGAGGAATATCGAGAATG